CTTCTATTACAGAAAACTTTGACACAAACGTTTTCTAGACTAGCACTCAGACGTGTTGAACATATTATAGATTATAAGTTTGAAATTGATCGGTATCAACATCGGACCGCTAGTGAATTACTGACACAGCGTTTCTATCCTGTATCTCATCCACTTGCACGTGTATGGTAAATTGTAGTAATTTTTTATCTCTTGTTAATAAAACTATAATTCAACTCTCTATAAAAGATTTTTATACGTCAATTATTACTGAAGGGTCTGTACATATTCTACTACTACTAACCTGCCATATGTTTGCGACGAGTTGTTATAAACTTAATTATTTCTCTGATTACGTGTCTTGGTGTTGTGGAATGGTTGGAGTTGATTGTCCAAGATATTTTACATTGGGCTTTTTGGCAGCTGGTAAAAAATGAGACTAATTTCTTTCGACAAGTACGAATAAAGCTTCTTTAAGATAACTTAACTCAAGGAAAATGCTAATCATTGAAAGGCTAGAGGTGTAATGGACTATATTATCTCATATCCACTAAAGATAAGTAATTAACATCAAAATACTCATATTTTGAAAGGTTCTTCTAGTTTGACTAAAAAAAGAGATTCCTATTGGTGTCGGTGACTAGCCTTTTACCTTCATTTTGTAACAATATTATAGCAGTCAATATGTTTTCTCTTGATTTGATCTAGCACAACTGATAACAAAATAAATTGAAGGCTTGTTTTTGTTATATTTAACAACAGTCCACGCGAAAGTATATAAAGAAGCTAGGTATTTAAAATTAGACACCGTCAAGCAATTGACAGAGCTTCCATATACATGAGGATATGTGAACATGGAGATTTTTCTTTTCGTACATTGAGGTTCGCTGTTGTTTCATGTGCAGGTGCCAAGTTGTATGTATATTCCACTCTCTCACAACATTTATTTAGTAGCCAACTAAAGTCTAGCAAGTGTAATTTATTACTATTAGAAAGTAAAGCGAAAATAGTGGTGATCTTGAAAGCCTGTAGTTATATATTACTGCTTTCAACTAATCAGATATTGCCACAGTTGCCTATTGTTTGACCGCAGTTACTTCACATTACTTCATATGGCCTTTATTTGGTAGTATGACTCCAATTACATCATTTAGTAATAAAATGTCCTTTATAAACAAACAAATTCTATAGGGAACTCGACTGGGTTTAAAGTTTACGATGGAATGTATTAAATTATTCACCAATGGGACATGTCTTCCCGGTTATCGATGTCTCATGATATACGCTAATTTTTGACACTCGACTGCTAAGTTAAATATTGTGGCTAGCAGACAATATCATGCTGTCTGGTTCTCACTGTCAACCATTTTCAATCATTTTTTTAATTACATACTTCATATTTGATGAATGAACATAATGTGAGTTGGGATCAGTGTCTTCTATTTGATGGAGACTAGGTTCTCTGTTACCCAAAAATATAATCAGGAACACAGCAGTAGAAATAAACCACTCTTCATGTTATTCGGTACGTCACCAATAATTTATCAAAAACATTTAAACTTCGTCATGTTACTAAGTTTTCGTAAATTAATCTCTTTTAATATATGTAATACTAATAGTGTTTTATACAATAGGGCGCTCAAACTACACAAAAGAAACAATAAAAAGATATTAAAAAGAGTGGGTAAAACAACAAATATCCTGGAATTTACGATTTCTTGAGGGAAGCTGTAGGCAACTAGTTCATTCTTATAGTACAGCTATGACAACTAGAAGTATTCAACTTAATGTGTTAACTAAGAATTCCGGAAGTGGTGCAATTTGATGTATGTAAGACTAGGTGAGCGCAAATGGACGTATTATGTTAGCGAATTCTTAATCATCGAGCAGTCAAGTACAAAGGAGTCATTAGCTCACACATACTACTGCTAGATAATACATTAGGTTAGGTGCGAAGATAGCTTCCTCCATAATGTCATCTGGACTCTTTATTTGCATACGAACACGTTGGAATACCAAACGTTCTTGACTTTCTGGTGGCTTTTCATGGAGTTTCTGCTTTTCTTGTTGATGCTTCCTTCATAACATAGGATACTTAGTTCAATCGAAGTTATCAACATAAAAATTACACCTAAACCCCACCCTTGTCGTTTAGTGGCCCTGTATCTGAATCCAGGTATGTCGAATGATTAGTTGTTATCGAAATATACATAACATCAGTCCTCGTATATTATTGTCGGCTCAACTCGTGTTAGTGAATAGTAGAATTAAATAAGTCAAATTCGAGGATGAAGTTTGAATGCGTATATTTCATACAATCGTTGATCTGAACAGACAGTCGATCAGAGTAACGAAGAGGAGAGGGTGAATGTAATGACACGCGGTGGAGATGACATGCAAGCCGGCCCAACTTAACAAAGCGTGAATCAATATTTATTGTTGCACATGTGGTGAATAGGATAAGAAGTGCACACACGCTGATTTAAAGATAGTCAAGATTGATAAGCGAATAATTTACACGGTCAAGTAGAGTGAGTAGATTGACTTATCCGCAAGCTATGCGGGCGTGCATAACAATACAGTCTATAAAGTATGGAAAGCAAGAACATAACTGCTTTAGAACTACCCAGAAATTATCATATGAAAATGCCGTTAAGCGGTTTTTTCTTGGATATTGTTGTCGCTCCCCCAAGCTTACTACTACGTCAGTTTCTTTTTGTAGTGCCTAAATAGAAATTATATCACCATTTGTCCAGTCAAGAAATATCTTTCTCCTGCGTATCCTTAACTGCACTCCAGATCACTTTGTTCATAGTCATCCTTGTTTTATTCGTGTAAATGGAAAATTAAGTGCACAAAACGGTAAGGATACCACTGCATTCTTACTGTCTGTACCTATATTCCTGCTAGTTGCACTGCTGATAAGTCAGTTAGTAAACACTCATCATTGACAGCGGACTTGATATGCTTATTGACCACTAAGTAAATGCAGTCGGGCATGTACCATAACATTCCGATGAGGAAGCCGCACATGATATATGTCTATTTCACAACTATTTCTGTTTTGGATAAGCTTGACCCACAATGATTATATTTGGAGTAACATCCGTAAAATATCTAGTTATCTGTGTTGTTTGACTCCGTATTATCCTAAGAGTCGTTAGGAAGGTCATCCCAATGCTGACTGAACTCATAACACATCACTTCCAGACTGCATTACACAAAGTTACTAAAACTAATAATGTGACTCTTCGATCGAATATTTTTGCTATATATCTCTATTTTCGCGAACGTTTCAAACCATTTTTCACTGTTCTGTGCAACGGAAATGCAGAACCTGTCAGAATGGATGAATAAAACTCTCGGTTCATATCTGATAAGACTGCGGGGTTCTGAAATTAATGAATTCCTTGATTTCCGCACCTTGGGAGTATTAAAATGTTTGTCCACCGAACGCCGACAAATAGGGGGATTTGTGAGGCTACTATAAGAGCACACGAGTCATTAAGTTGAACTTTTATTTTTAACTGGTTGAAAGTGTCATGGGAATGTCTTACTGTTGCAAATTGTTTCGACAACATTAGTGTCCTGTATAGCAATGTAGAAGCTAAAGGCTACTATGAACAGCTTGTTTTTCAGAGTTAAGCAATGATTAAATTTGAATTAATTAAATGTCATAAGTAAAATATAATCTAAAATACATTGAAAAATTCAAGAATACGAAGCAGTACTAAACGCGATGTCAAAGGCATTCAGAGTTCGACAACTTCTTTACACGTAACACGTCTACAATCAAAGTACATCGATCCATTCAAATCCGATGTCGCAAAAAAGGAGTTGAAAGATATATGGTCCTAAAGCTATCGATTTTTTGCGAAGCGTTCAATCTAAGTTGTCTAGTTACTGCGAGGTACGCGTAGTGCGGCGTACACACTGGCGACCTGATGTGAATGAGTGACCGAGTGTCTACAGTTAGAGTGTGTCCAATAAGATTAATGCAGTCAGCAAAAATGTCAAAGGCCCACAGAATTATTTATTTTGGCGATCTTTTTATCGCTACAAACGAAAGACCGTGACCGAGGAAAAGATGAAGCGGGCTTATACCAAATTAGCGAAAGGCTTTATAGAAAACATCCAATTACAAAGTCTTTAACATCAATTTTCCGTTCGTTGACATGTGGTAAAAAGGGCGTGTCATTCAACTGCGGTGGACAATGACGCTTTAAAATATACAATCAACTTCAGGAAACGAATTGTAGTGTAGATCACTAATGTAGATGATCAGTTTTGAATGATTTAGGGCCTATTTGAGTTATGCGGTTATTGTATGACGAGCCAGCTGACTTTGCAGTCCGATCTCGGAATCAGCACTGAATATGTATTACCTTTACATCGTATTGAGGTACCAAGACTTCCGTGTAGATTGTAAACATGAAGGGCGTCATTACAGAGACATATTAGTGAGGACAACGAAGATAGTGTGACTACCAGTATATAGCGCCCAACTAATCGATGAGAGTCGGTCGCCCTCGACCTTGGCAGTGGTCTATGAACTGTTCAACACTCAGCGACTCTGCTGCTAGAAGATTTGTCTAGGGTTCAGTAACATTCCAATGAGCCTACTGTAGTATTACCTGCTAAGTAGTGTAAATAATACCGGTTTACACACCCACAACATTTTCCCTGTTCGGATATTTTAACATCAGTATCAAAAATTACAAGTAAATCATTACCAATGAATGTTTAAACTTTTTCATTTGTGAACATAACAATAAGCGATGACATTAGCTGTTCAAATTACAAAAGGAATGCAAGAAATCTTTTCATTGTGAGGTCATGTTTGTACTCCTGTTCATTCTATAGTTGTAAAATGTTTCATCTCAGAACAAAATGAGTTAATATTCAGAACTTGTTTTGCTGTTCAATCAAGCTTACTACTGTTCAAAGTTTATTTGTTTAAATAATCTAATTAGATGTAATGTCATAGTAACTTGTCGCCTGCCTACTTTTAGATAGTCATTATGGACTCCTCAGACCTACATCTTGCAATTGATTATGTTGGATCATGTGGTATTGTTTTGACACCTGAACAAAAAGCGACGCTTAATACAACACTGACTATTTTGAAGCACGAAAACAAGTTCTCGTATGTGTCGTTTTGGGGTATAATTCGAGGAATCAATGGGGACTATTTCATTGCTCAAGGAATCGGGAAAGATGTATTAAAAGAAAAAACAAATATGTACAGGTATATAACCAGTAATTTGGGTCAACGCTTTATTTTAGTAAAGATTGCTCTACATGGGGGTTGTTACCAGTACCAGGAAAACAAGATATAGAAAAAAGTAAACTTTTCAAAATGAGACTAACAGGTGATCCTTCACACGAAGCTGAATACATTGAGGTGAAACAAGTGCCAGGTGAAGGTGATGAGCTTGCCGAAACTGAAGAACTTGTAATCTCTATTCCATTAACGATTGGTATATGAATTAGATAACCATGAAAGAAGAAGATAGACTTGCTGCTATTATTTACCGCATTGAAGAGGAAGTTGTTATTGTCCCACGTGGTGCATTTATACGAATGTACAACGGACAAGTTGTGAGGAATAAATCTTTTGAAGGTACACGGATGCAATTACTCATACAAACGTAGGCTTGACGTGTGCCGAGGCTTCAAAGTTATTATCATACTTCCATTGCCGGCCTCCTGTAAATATGCCTAACAAACCATTAGCCGAAAGAGCAAAGCTTGACAAAGCTATCGACTTTTTGGATACTATTGAGGATGATAATCCTGAAGGTGAGAATCTTTTGTATTGAGACTAGATATTTCTCTACGTTTGATTTCGGATGTGAGTAAAGTAATCTACCTGTGATTTTAACATTTAATTCGTATCCTAGTGGAATAATAGCATTTATTTCGCACTCATTTGCTGGTGATCATGAGATTATTGCTATTATTTTCCATAGATTGATAATAAACCATAGTCTTTTCTTTGAATCCATTCGGATGAAAAGCATTAATCCATTAAATATACACAGTATAATTAATACGTAGAAAAGCCCGTTGGCTGCACATATGTTTCGTACTATAAACTAGTATCCGCGGTCATGTAAATCCAGGATGTATATGTCCAAATCGTGGTATACCATTCAGCCAAGTGCAGTGAGACAAAGACTTATGCGCAAACCTCTTGATTCTGAAGTTTAGTTTTTGATTGTTTCCTATCACTCACATGATGTTTAGTTATTAAAACGTCCATTTCTCAACGGTTTATAGGATCTGTTCAATTACTAGTAGATAGTGATGAGATAAGAGAAGATAGTATGTTGATTTCTCATCAAGAGACTGGTCTGTTGACAGAAACCAGGGGACATCTTGTCAGAAGGCAGGATGCAGTCTCCTAAGTGCCCCAAGCAACAAAACAAGTTTCTTGGATGCATTTTTATCCTTACTACCCAAGATGTAGCCTCGCAACTGATCTATGTTAACGCTTATTCTAACCAGTCAGTCATATGCAACATAGAACCTGACATATATGTACATCGATTCAAATTGTCACGCCCTATTAACAGTGAGACGAAATTGTTAGAGTTATTCCCAGAGTTGCAACACTGTTAATAATAATAAAGAAGACTGACGGTTGAAAATAAAACTTGGGAAAATATGAACTAGTAAAATAAAAGAACTTATAAAGTGATTTAGTCTTGGGATCTCAGAGGAGACAAAGAGTGAACCTGCGCTGTTGTAGATGATTTTGAGCCATGTCACTTAGTCTCTAATTGTTGATTACCATAATCAAGCGGGTCCTAGGGGGGTAGTTTGTACATACAAACATTCGGATCAAAGTAGTTTGATGTCTTTAAAACACCACTTATCCTAAATGTCTTGTCAACCCTTGTATGCGACAAGTGAAATCTCAACAAGAATGCATTAAGGTCTTCAGACTTTGACAGTATGTCCACCAACTCAAGGTCGAATTTACTGAGAGCCTTTTTAATTTATTTTAACCAATGGATTTAGAATATGCACTTTAAGGAAAAAACGAATAGGGTATTTGTAAGTAGTGCCAGATAGCTTTGAAGTGTTACTTGTGTATGGTGGAACCAGACATAAAATACTAAGTAGAGATGAAGGATGGTTTAAATGATGTGAATCCTTACTAACTGACCTGAATAGAACATGTACTGAGTATCCACCTGCTATATCCCTTCATGACCAAGGTTAACCGGTCGAAGTTGGAATAAAGCTAGAGACAATTACATGAAAATCGTACATCCGTACATTAGGTCGATCACTGCTGACATAAGCTTTCTGGTCGAGATCATTGATATAAATGTGTTCAACAGCTGGACAACTTACATAACATGCTTCGAGGTTGGATACTGTGACACTGACGTATTGTATTCCACCTTTTCTTAAACTATGATATCATTTCATGTTTTCAGTCCATCAAAACTAACTAGCTTTAGTTCCTTTATTTCTACATTAGCTAGTCCCCTTAACTGTTTCTAGGTGTCCTGTTGTGATAACTCTGGCCGATATATATTGTGTAGTATAGTGAACATGTTGAAAGCTATGCCCTGGAAAATATTGTGTTGTGAAGATATATAAGGTGATGAAACAACAGATGAAACGGATAAAGGTTCGCGTATCTGATGAGATAAAGGTATGAATAACATAAGTTAAAAGAAAAACAAGACTTCGTTAGGTGGTAATTTATATGATAACGCAACTTCAGACCTATCCAACCGAAAACTAGAATGAAAATCGTGATAATGTAACCCTTAGGTAGGTATAATGTTACTTAGAAACTAACCATAAGCAAGGGTACACTATATATGTACAATACAGCATTAGCAAAAGACTGGAATGAGTCAATTATATGTACAGATACGATAAAAATCCTAGAACTTTTATGATGAATACGAGGATTATTTTTATTAGGGTGGTTATTATCAGGTTAACTTTTATAACTATTATTATTATTATTTAAACACATATATATTGGTACAAAAGGGCACCAGGTACATATGCGCCACACAAAATAATGAAAGTAGGTAGATAAAGGATGAAAAGATAAGGCGGGCTGAAATGTACAACCAGAAGATTCTTTCAGTTAGGAAAGTTAGAACCATTCTTTATGTAGAAAGTAAAAGAAGGTTGCAGCAGGATCGCCACTGGCTTCTATTCTGAGCCATATCCGATAACGTCTCTAGCCACTGTGTTGCACTATCTCTCGGACCCCAACCAGGGAGTCGTGAAGGACCAACGGAAGCTAGCCCTTTGCAGCTCTCTTTCATGCCACGACACCATGTCATACACTGACCTCCTCTCCGCTTTCTCCAACCAGTCCCAGGGTCGGAAAATAATGCACGACGCGGAAGTCTCTGGGACGACATTCGTAAAACATGTCCAAGCCACCGAAGTCGGTGTTTCAAGATGGTGACACCAATTGAATTATCGTCTCTGCGCCCGAACACACGATGCCGAACCTCTGCATTACTAACATGGTGTTGCCACTGGATGTCAGCAATCCTTCGGAGACAACGATGATCGAACACAGAGAGACGTCTAACATCCTCAACTCGGAGAGGCCAGGTTTCACAAGCATAGAGCAAAACTGCTCTCACCGACGCGTTGTAGATCCGACCTTTTACAGCCAGACTAACATCACGAAGGCGCCAAAGATGGCCCAGATTGGCATAAGCCGCTCTGGCTTTCCTTATACGTGCATCAATCTCATCACTCACGCCACCACCAGCACTTATATAGCTACCTAGATACACGAACTTCTCAACTACTTCGATCTCCTCACCATCCAGGGTGAGTACAGGATGAGAATCCTGCCAGTCTTGTAGAAGTACTTTGCACTTGGAGGGTGCAAAGCACATGCCGTACCTGCGGACACTAATTGCCAACTGATTAAGTGCTGATTGCATGCCTTGGGCATTATCGCACAGTAAGACAATATCATCCGCATACTCAAGGTCGAGAAGTCGTTCTCCAGGCAACATATCCACACCGCCATTACTTACATCCATCAGAGCTGTTTCTAGGATGTCGTCGATGACAAAGTTGAAGAGGAATGGGGAGATCGGGCAACCCTGCCTAACCCCACTGCTCGAATGGAACAAGGGAGAAAGGTTGTTGTATGCCCTCACTCTGCCTGAGGTGTTCGTATACAGGGCCTTTAAGATGTTAATGAACTTCTCAGGCACACCCTTCTTCAATAGACAATCCCAGAGAACAGTCCTGTCCAACGAATCGAAGGCCGCCCTGATATCAAGAAACACTACGATTGTTGGCCTGCGATAAGTATGACGGTGTTCTAACATTTGGCGGAGGGTGAAGATGTGATCAATGCATCCTCGACCAGAACGAAAACCAGCCTGCTCCTCGCGAGTCAATCGTTCTCGGGTTTTAAACAACCTACGAAGAATGATAGAAGCCAATAGTTTGGACGCGATCGAAAGTAGACTTATCCCCCGGTAGTTATTGCAGGAACAACGTGAACCCTTTTTAAAGATAGGGACGACTATTGACTCATTCCAAGATGTTGGAACACTTTCTTGCTCCCAAACCTTTCCAAACAACGCAGTCAGTTCCTTAGCCAGAAAGTCACCACCATCTTTAAAAAGAGCCGGAGGTAAGTCATCTGGGCCAGGTGATTTGTAGCGCTTCAAGAGTTGGAGTTCCTTGCGGACTTCCGCCTTGTTTGGTGGAACAGTCGTCACCGGCCATGGGGGGCAGGACAAGCTGGTTGATGTTGCCGGAGCAGCAGGCCAGTTGAACTGCCCTTCGAAAAATTCCGCCCATCGTCCAAGACGTCGGGAGATGTTAGTGATTGGCATCCCATCATCCTCGTAGATTGTTTCACTCACACCAGACTTCTTGCTGCCAGTGGCTCGGATGAGTTGGAAGAGCTTCCGGCAGTTACCAGATGCAGCTGCTGCTTCCATCTCATTAGCACGCTCCGACCACCAGGCTTCTCGGTCCTTACACAAGCTTTGCCCAATTTCATTACGTAACAGCCTTCGTTTGTGGTCAAACTCACGGTCACCCGGAGTAGACCGACGGGCTTCCATCAGTTGTAAGGAGCCAGAAGAAACCCAGTGCTTGTAAGCGGGACGTTTCGCGAAGCCGCAAGCGGCTTTACTCGCCATTTTCATGGCGTCGTGAAGATGCAACCAATGCTCGTCTATACTTTTCGGTGGGGTGGTAGCTAGCCTAGAGGCTAGCTCCGCTCGATACTTACTTGCAACAGAAGTTGCAGCCAGTTTACTAATATCAATCCGTTGGTGGTGGTCAATCCTTCGGCCACTGAAAAGTAAGGTGAGATTGGCGCAGACCAGGGCATGATCAGACTCCAGATAGGTACTCCAAAAGGAGCGGCAGTCTTGTACACAACCACGCCAGCGGTAGCTGATCGCGATGTGATCAATCTGAGTCCAGGCTTGAAATGCAGAGGGAAGACGCCAGGTGGCACACCGGCGATGACTGTGCCGGAAGTTAGTGCTGGCCAGAAACAGGTTGTGGTCTGTGCACAGTTGCAGCAAACGGTCCCCGTTATCTGTCCTGCGACCAACAAGTCCCCATCGGCCACCTAAACGACTCTCTTCTGTGCCTAGACGCCCGACCTGTGCATTCAAGTCTCCGGCTAGTACTACAATATCTGTCGAACGCGCTTTCTGGAGAAGAACTGTTAACTGATGGTAAAACTCATCCTTGATTGCATCCGGGCTGCAATCTGTCGGGGCATAGGCGGAGATGACGAAAAGACACCGTTTCTCACGCCGATTTCTTCTCACTTTGATGGAACTTTCTAATCTAACAGCACATAACCGACTGTTAATGGGGATCAAATCGATTAGTGCTGCCTCAGCTCTAGCGCTTAGTGCGACACCAACGCCTGCAAGACCAGACGAAGATGCCACAGGGTCCCCGGATAAGCGCACGTGGAACAAGCTTTTCGAGGCGACAGATGGAGAGCGGATTTGTAGTACTTCACTAGAGTCTTGAATACGGGTCTCGGATAGACAACAAACGTCAACATTAAGACCTTCCAAAGACATAGCCAGCCCTATCTGTTGTCTGATCTGCATTAGTGTGCGAACGTTGAAGGAAGCCAGCTTGAACGGCGTACGTGGTTTCAGAAAGACTGCCTCAGTATTCATAATCGGTGGAAGCATTCACTTTCAACCAGACAGTGACTGGAGATCGTTTAGATAGGACAGATTTTCCACCAAGAGCGAGCTGCTGCATAAGTTGAAGAGTAAGGTTACACAAATTGGGGATAAAAGGGGGTGAATTAGCGATATGGTAAGTAATAATAATAATAATAATAATAATAACAATAATAATAATAATAATAAAGGTAATAATAATAATAATGTTAATTGTCTTGCTTTTAGTATGACCAGGGATATCGTCAATAGAGTTCATAATTTCATTCATTTGTTTGTGTGTGGGCTGTGATACTGCCCGGGTGCCCAAACCGAAGCAGGTGGTTTTCTTAGGGGACCACACCCCGAGCCTTTGACCTAAAGGTCTGATCCACAAGGCAGTGGAGCATCGTGAGGAGATGCAGTCCCATGGTTGCCGTTGACCAACAGCAGGTTCTTCTGCCATTCGTTCCATCAGGATACTGGAGCCCATGTGCACCACTGGTTTGGAATCAGGGTTTTCCAACTCCCCTAGGTGGACCCTCCGTGTCCACCAATCCGGTTATAGCGCCGGACATTCGCTTTTCGTCCTCTCACTTTCGTAAACAACACCCCCGCCACGAGAAGGCAGTGAGTAGGACTTCCCTGGCAGAGGCTATATATTCGCTGGCCATGTGAGAGCATTTCGAGAGGGAAAGTAGACTCTCCCCACTCTCGGCCGTACCAGGGCATTTGGGGGCAACATATATGCAAATTTTACTTGTTGAGGTTGCGTACTATACGACTAAGTATTACAATGATTGCTGCTTTTACACGGACTTAAATTGTTTTATAAACTACGGCTTTATACTTTGAAAAGGTTGTTGGGTGATTCAATTCGAACGTGGAGGCAACCTTGTTCTGGTCAAAAGTCTTTTATGGATTGGATATGTTTTGTATCACTTACCAGGTACAAACAAGTATGGATCGGTTTATGTTGGAACTGGTGAATATAATATTGATCTCCCATTTATGATATAATGAGAAAAGTAAGTGAACTATACAAAAAAATATAAAATTATTTTACAGAAATATTGGAATATTTGTATACAAATACTTAAAAAAGTTGATTGGTATGAAAAACTAGTTTGTGTTTGTTTATTTGATTACTCTCTATGTATTCGAAGAAACAAGAGGCCGGAAGGACCTAACACATCAAAATATCACAGGAATATATTAAAAATACATTTGATGACCAGTAATTACTCTTTTGTTCTGGAAGTGCATGAGAGTTTATCGACAAATGCTTGTCTATTTCTGCGAATTTCTTCGGTTGATATTCGATTCGCATGATTCATGTCACTATGAGCTGTATTTTGACCGATAGAATTCGATTCATTAGCTAAGAAAACAAAATTTTTAAAACAATTAGTTTGATAAATTTCAAAAATGCGATGAGACGAAGATTGTCAGAACTGTGATATTTTAGCGCAATACGTTTCAGATAGTTTGATCACACGTATACTTGTTAAGTTATTCATACATTTAAATATTGAAGACCAATTAGGCAAATCGGAAGGTAAGAAAAAACAAGGATAATCAGGTAAAGTGTAAAACTCTACGCCGGATAATAAGTGGATAGTATCGAATTAGGCTTCGAGCAGGAATAACCTATTTTTGAACACACAAAAAGGGTTCGAAGTTTGGTATGATCAAGGCTTAAATAAACTTTATTATACACCCTTTAACACTCCTGAACAACACTACAAAAGGTTATTTGATATCACCTCTATGACGCATCTCAACCGAATGTTATGGGACGGAGAAAGATGCTTGTTAGTCAGCTACAACGTAAGA